TCTACATGACGTTTCACGAAGTATATATGATCGCTGACAATTAAGGTCCGCGGGCGCGAAAAGACGAAGGCGGCGAAAGAAGAGAGAATTAAACTAAGGGGCCGATTACATGGAGCATTCTCAACCCCGGGGTTGAACTCAGCCCTGTTAAACGGGTTGAAATTTTTTGCGATTACATGGACGATTTCAACCCCGGGCTTAAAACGTTATACTATACGTTCTCGGCATCGATTCGCGGAAGTAAAAAGCCTTTATTTTGTTTTCTTGTAATAATTAGTCGCTACCACGCATGCTCGAATAACTCATGATAATTTCAGCCCTGGGTTGAAAGGATTACATGACAAAATTTTCAACCCATGGCTGAGTTCAACCCCGGGGTTGAACTCAGCCCTGGGTTGAAAATTTTGTCATGTAATCGCGCGTTTGATTTTGATAGAGTGTTGTATTACAGACAGGGCTGAAATTTCAACCCGGTAAACAGGGCTGAGTTCAACCCCGGGGTTGAAAGTGCTCCATGTAATCGGTCCCTTAAGGATTGAAACTTCGGCGGGTCATCGTTTGATGTGTTCCATAAGTAGGTTGTTCTCCGAAAATTTCGCACGGGGCCCCAATGTGAGTTAGGATTGAAAAAATATTGTATTTATTTTTAAAAACGTACTTGAATCCCTTGATCATCCATTATTTCTTCACTCGAAGTTCTGTAAACCTTTTAAATGGCTTGGACTCATACTTGACGTCACGAGAACAACCTACTTATGGAACACATTGTGCGAAAAAAACCTTCGAGTGTTTCATGTAAAAACATACGAAAAATCAATCGTTTATTGAATCTACTACATCAATTGTGAAGATATATCCAAAAAGACATAGAATCTGAAAAAAAATATTCGAAAACACAAATAAATTGTGAATTTTAAGGCATTTAGAAATGTCATCTAGTCGAAGTTTCAACCCTTTAGTTTATTAAATTCTCCCTTCTTTCGCCGCCTTCGTATTTTCGCGCCCGCGTTCTTACTTGTCAGCGATCATCGATACTTCATGTAGAGTGATAGTATAATGATTCAAGCAGTTTAAAATGTTTACAGAATTTTGAGAGAAGAAATAATCGATTATCAAGGGATTCAAGTAGGTTTTTAAAAATAAATACAATATTATTTCAATCATAACTCATAGTGGGGCCCCCTGTGGGTCGGCAGAAAAAAATAGGGTCGGTCGGGAACCGTAATCACAGGTATTTTTTTTACGCCCAATCTTTGTTTATGCAGTTTCATCATAGGCTGCCCAAAAGTGCGTGTTGAAATTATTACCCTCGCGCGTGGCGTTCGGGCATGCATCGAGTCTACTCAGTTTATTATTATGACTAATAGTCAGTCATAATAATAAACTGAGTAGACTCGATGCACGCCCGAGCGCCACGCGCGAGGGTAAAAATTACAACACGCACTGTTGGGCAGCCTATGGTTTCATGTCATATTCTCAAACTCATTAATAATTCATGAGCAATCAGCACCGTATCATCATCTTGATATCACGGTAATGAACGCCCATACATTACAGTGTAAATCAACTATCGTCTTGAATTTATCTTTAAATACAAGTCCATTTGAGAAGTAATATAACAAACTTAAAAGCTGTCGTTTTTAAACGCACGTTTCGGTATTTTACACGCTTGTGTAAACGCTTCCTCGTTTATTATATATTATGAGTGATAAAAGTGACAATGAGTGATAAAAGATGTAAATGGTCATATACAGGTATGATCTGAATTGGACAATTTGTATATGAAGCTGTGGAGGATAACCATATGACAGGCCTCTTTCTATAGTTAATTTAATGTGAAATTACATTGCTTTTTTATTGTTTTGGCCCAGTAAATTTATATCAGTAGATTCAATCATATTTAACTATTAGTTAATAACGATAACTCAAATTGGGCTAGGAATCTATTTGAAACTGCGGTTCTTGGCCCAATAGACCTTATGCATAATGACGCCACAAGGCTTGATGCCCGCGAGAAATGCTGGTCTTAATCGTCATCGACCAGGAAAATTAAACAATTCAAAATGGCCACTATCGAAATTTTCCCGGGCGATGACTACTAAGATGACGACTAAGGGCATCAAGCCTTGTGACGTCATTATGCATAAGGTCTATTGTACAAATACAGTGGGGTTTTAATCAACTGTCTGTACTGCAGGACAGCAACACGACGAAGACCGAAACGAACCCTTCAAATAAAATGTTTATAAAGCACCTTAGATACATATACCGCATGCAAGAACTTACAGTTAATGCTCGACTGGGGGTGGGGATTTTCAGCTTGCACGATGTTTTTCTGTTTCCCCTCTTCGTAAGATTTTTTTGTTTTCCTCGGCGCGAATTTTTTTGTTCCCCACCCCATCACTTTCCTAATGGTCCGCCTCAAAAACTCTAGTGGGGTATTTAGTTATTAATTTCTTCTCTACAATATTATGAATTCCAATTGTACGAGTGCCCGTCGTCACGTTGCCGTCCTATTTGCTGGAGTCCCTCATAACAAATACTGAAGGATAATCAAAGTGCTCTCATATCTCATAATCTATAAATCATTGGGCCACTTCCTACTATGAGTACTCTTAACTTCAGCCGAACAACAAAGGATACAAACGTTACAAACATGTACAACACATTGATAAAACAAACAACAAAGTTACAAACAGATAGCAGCCAAAGAGAAAAGCAGAGCATAATAGAACAATCCCTCAATATCTCCGTTTTAATCATCGAGCACTTAACACAAGAAAGTTTCACATTTAAAGTTTTACATGGGGTGATGATGACTAAAGGTTTATGATATAAAATTTCAATATTACTGTTACCTCTTCATCATCACTCTCTTCTTGTTCAGCAGCTTCTTTTACTTCACTAATCTCTGACATAAACTTCTCTGTTGCTTCGAATTTCTTTGCAGCCTAGTTTGAAAATAACCAACTAGGTTTACATGGAAATACATTTAATAGTTTTTGTGGAAAACATCACTTTTTAATTTGCATATAAATAGATAAATAGTTGCATGATTCTGAGGCGGTTCTTATAAAAAAACAAACAGCGACTGAAAACCTTGCCCCCTGATCAAAAGAGCAAATCAGTTTTGTAAAATACGTTTGAAACTACACTTGAAAACATGCATGTTCAAAGCTACTCAAAATTCACTTTCATTTAATCTACTTAATCTATCAAGCTCGAATCATTTGAACCGATTCCAATCTTAATCATGGGGGCATCCATTTAGTACATTTCGAAAATCGAACCCTCCCTTCCCCTTGTATGCAAAGAACAGTAGAAATGACGTCACTTAAACAATAGGCATACACAAAAACTGCAAACATTGTCAGCTCCTAATAAATACAAATATAAACATTTAAAAAAAGCATTCTGACTCCCCTCTTCTTTTAGTTGTGTATATACTAAATGGATCACCCCCACTGTTAATTAAAATACATATCGTACAGTATGTTACATAGTAAAAACGTTCTTACTTCTATTTTAATACAAGTAAGGTATACAGTATACAGCAAATTTTAATACAAGTAAGGTATGCAGTTGGGTAACGTAAAAATATAGGTTAGTGCTCTCATATCTCATAATCTTAAAATTCATCAGGCCACTTCCAGTTGTACACACTGTAAACCAGGGTGGGCGACACATTACAGGGACACACACATTTACAATATACAAGGGAAATAATGGTCAAACAGTGCACATAACTGGACTTCCCTCATTGTAAGTGTTTTAATCATTGAGCACGTTAGGTAGGGGACATGCAAGATGTTTTTAAAGCCTTACCCTCATTTGTTCTGTTTGAGTCAGATCTTCAATCTAAATAATAACACAGGGCACAGGTCAACAAAATGCTTCCTTGTGTACAGTTATCAGAAGATATTGAAAATGCAAAACAAATCACTTCTTGCCATTTTACAATTGGTGTATGACATGAACATTGGAGTTACCTTAGCCTCGCCAAATACAATATATGTATCACCATTTGGATTTTTGTAGACATCAGGTTTTGCAATCACAAATAAGATATTCTTTGATTTTCTGATTGCTACCCGGTTTACACCTGTGATTAGTTTCAGACCTAGTTTTTGAACTGCTTTACGGGCTTTCTTCTCACTACGACTTTGTCTAGCTTTGCTGACAGATTCTTCAGGGACACCAGCAGCAGCAGCTACTTCACTGAGTCCTGCTTCACTAAGTCCTGCTTCACTAAGTCCTGCTCCGCCTTGTGCTTCTTCTAACTCAGGAAGATCATCCTCACTATCACTTTCCGTTCCAGACCCAGCTAATAAAATTAAAAACAATGAAAAACTTAACATAACAACTCTTACACCTGTAGGTTGTTCCTTAACTTGTCTTTTGATTTTTCAAACAAATCACAATGATCATAGTTTAGCCTACCAGTATTTGGAATTATGGATCACTCACACTTAGACATACTTGCATGCCAGGGATATGTAAAACATGTAAATAGTACAGTTCAAAAATATATTAATGTGGACTATACACTTAGCCACATACAGCTATTTTACAGGTATGCCACCTAAATATTACCTAATTGATAAATATATAATTTAGCTACTGTATATAATTATACAGATATAGAAATTCTAAATCTAAATTTGTCGCAAGCAATGTTTTAAGTCCTAATTCAATATTTATTAACGCTTTCCTAAATGTTGCATAAGTGGTTGAAGACTTAACACTATCTGGCAGACTGTTCCACAATTTGGGGCCATAGTATCTCCACAATTTAATTAATATGCAGGCAGCAAAAGAAGAATATATAGAAGGTCCAAGTCTTGGCTGGAAAAATGGTATGAACAAAGTTCCAGAAATTGATAGAGAATGAAGCCAGGCCATGCAAGATGATAGAGAATGAAGCCAGGCCATGCAAGATAGACAATGCAGCACCTTGTGATAGCAGAATTTATGAAAAAGTACAAGAAAAAGCCGAGAAATGTCAAGAATTAAAAAGAGAAATTGCCAGAATGTGGGGGATAGTAACAAAAGTTTAATTAAAAAAAATATATATTTCACATATCAGAGGTCAAAAGGTTTTTGTAGAACAGAAATCTTTTATCTTTGATGATGCTCAGCTTTGAAACATGTAAATAACCATGTTTATTATACTATGACTTACACACACACCTGATATTACAATATTTACTGTATTTCTTGGGTGAATTACATTCACTCAACACTAAATGTGCAGTGATGTATTGATGTAAAATTGCTCTCATATCTCATAATCTGATAATCATTGGGCCACTTCCCATATTGTGCACTATAAACTCAGGGTGGGTGACATGTTACACAACACAAAAAATTACTTGATACAAGGGTGGAGTAATAGTACAACAAAATAGGACTTCCCTCACTTAACAATTTTAATCATTAAGCAAATGTACAATATCATCATCTGCATTTAACCCATTAGGCTGCAGAGCTTCCCCATTGACAATACTTAAAATCATCTGGCATTAGACAAGTAAAAAAAATTAAGTAGGGCACACTGGGGCGCATTGCGGCTCAATTGGTTAACATGACAAAAGTTCACAAAAACTAAACCCTACTACTACGCATCAGGTTTTCCTGGGGCAGTTTTTCCACAATTTAAGATTAAATTAATTAATCTAAACATGGTGGAGCCTGGTTTGCCTCCGGCTATTGAACTATCTGTTCAAAGCATGTAACAGAAAATGTAAAGTAAGGTATTTTGTAAACTCTGCATAGGTTAAAGCAAGTGGACATTTCCTCATGACCAGGCCAGAGGCCTGGTTCACTCAACAAGCCACACTAGTTTGCAGACTATCCTGGAAATGGCGTGTGATTTCACACTGCCTCAACCTATCAAGAAGTGCAATTCATCGCATGCCTTGAAGGTTACGTTTGAATTGCTGAAATTTTTTGGGTTTTCATGAAAGATTTGACCAAGTTTGAAGAAAAGAACTTATCAAGTCATCAAATAAACTATTTTTGCTGTATTTGCAAGTGGTTCGAAGGTCTATATATTTATTGTTTGTATCAGTCTGCTCACAAGAACAATTGCCTGGTATCAGACAAATATGGTTGGATAAATGGCTACACTTTCACATTTGAATGTTTACATGTATTTGATCTCTTTGATTTAATCAATTACCAAGGCAACCATCACAGGAGTGTGCTCATAGACTGGATTTGTTTCTCTTATAGGTAGGGTGATGCGGTTATTCGGTTAACCGAGATGAATCGGTTATTTTTACAGATCGGTTTCACAAGTCTTCTAAATATCAGATAACCGACTAACCGAAAAACTGATTCAAAATATAAAATTCAAAATAAAAAGACAAACAAGCGTGCTACATGTGATCAACATAAAACTATAAGCAAGCTACGTTATACTCTTTGGTGATTACGCGATTTAAATCAATACTAGAAGCCTAGAAAAGCGCTGCGACTCAAATAGCGGGTTAAAAGTGGATCAAAACAAGCTTAAAGCTTCCGGTTTGATTAGCTAAGAGAAAGGCGGACGTCTGCAAAGATGTCACATGGTTAACACACAAGACATGTTGTTTATTTTTGTCAAAATAATTTCATTGATTAAAAGAGTCTGTTATCTCGGTTATTTTGTAACGATTCTCGTTTCGGTTATTTTACGAAACCGCATCACCCTACTTATAGGTATGCTATTAGGTCCTCCCCACAGATAGCCTGCTCGCAGGCTCTCAAGGTGAAATGAGAGCCTGCATTGATGACAAACAATTTTGAATATCTGCCCCGAAACGTTCGTTTTTCCAAATATGGAAATTATGTCTATCCTTATATACGGTGTTGTGTACAACTTTTGTGCAAACTAAATTTAGACTGTACAGTTTATACTGTTTTTCAAAAATATATAAGATATTCAAGCAAAAATTTAAATGTTTTAGATGCTGTTTTCTCAAAACAGAACATTTTGTGCTTTGATGTGTTTTTTATGCATAGTGCTTCAGCAGTTCACATATATAGAGCTCAGAGGAAACATATAAATTATAGCATCTGACCAATGAGAATTTTGTGTCCCGATTCAAGACGCAGATATGCAAAATTGTATGCCATCAGTGCAAGCTCTCATTTCACCTTGAGAGCCTGCTCGCAGGCTACCCTACCCCACGGAGGAAATTTCTGCTGTCCGAAACGGGGGCATTTGTTTCTGATAATAGTAAGATCCGAAAGGGGTAGGGGGTGAACCATCAATTTCCTCTGTCGGGTAGGTGTGGATGTTTTCCAGAATGATGCAATGGAAGGTGTATCCACAACAAAATATTTGTGAATACAAATCCAAAATCCAGATACATGTGCATGGGGCTCAAGTGCATAAGCATACAACACAAAAATGTGTTAAACTTGCCCGAATTTTTAATCAATTAATAAAATCAGTCATTATTAATAATAATGGAGTCCCAAATATGAAGTATGAAAAGCAAAATATCTAAATATTAACAGTATTTTAAACAACTGATACCAACATTTTATTTAACATACGAAATAAATATCAAGGCGTCACCTTCGTTCTCCTCTGCGGCAGGTTTCTCGACGGCTGGAGCTGTCATATTTTGGTCTGTTTTGTTCAAAAATTATCCTTCGACACGCTGTCAAATTTAAAAAATACCCATCTTTAGTATTTGAAAACATTCTGCTGCTACATGTATTAAAGATTATAAAGGATAAAAAGCTGTACAGACCTGCGATTCACAAGGATAGACCACCAGTAAATATTTCTGGTAGTCAAACTTCGGCACAGAAAGGAAAAGAAACATCGCACGTTGAAAAAATATTTTAGGATATGGGTCAGCGGTAACCTTGTTCCTTGATGTAATTACTACTTCATGTTTGATTCTTCCAACCGTCGTTTGCTTCTAAAGCAATCTCGTTCCCAGAGTATGCCTGTTCGCGGGTTAGGTTGTGCCTAACATAGATATCTGCCTAACCCGCGAACAGGCATACTCTGGGAACGAGATTGCTTCTAAAGAAGAAAAATCGCAGAAAAGCACATTGCAGCTTTCATATTGGCGGAAATAAAATATTTTCACATGCATTCGTCTGATGTCTGTAGCAGATTAATGCAAGACGAATGCTATTATACAGAACTTCTCATTCTGTGGAGGAGAGTGGCAGCTCTGCTTACATTGCACCCGCGAAATGGCTGTGAGCCTGTGAAGGAGATTACAGACTTTCTGCCTTTCAAGTCTCGTTCGAATTGGCTACATTGTTGATAGGGTGTATCCAGTCTGTAATGATACAAGCTTTAGTGAGGGTCCTGAAGGGGTAAAATGGGAACTGGGATTGATCTATTTTTAGACTGGGAAAATGGGATTTGGGTTGCTGGGATTTGGCCACTGGGAATGGGAAATCAAGTTCTCAAAAATGGGAATGGGATTGAAGTAATGCGAGTCGATTCCCAATTTTGATCCGTTTTTGGTGCCTTTGGTCATGATTTTTGTTGTTAACTATATTATTCACAGCACTACCTGCGAACAGGCATACTCTGGTGCCTGGAATTCTGGGTTTTCTGATTATGCGTGTCTTAGAATGCTGCAAATGCCATTTCCGGGATTCAAATTTTAAAATTTTCTTTGCCTTCGGCACCCCAACATTTCAGAAAGTGTCCACCACTTGCACACATGCGGTGGCTTAAAAGGTCTTAAAACTGTTTATTCTACCGATAAATAAAGGGTTTTTTATTGACTGGGATTTCAATAACTCGGAGTGGGATTTCTAATAAAAATCCAACTGGGACTGGGATTTTGCCAAAATTTCAGGTGGGAAATGGGATTGGGACCCCCCCCCCCCTTCAGGACCCTCTTTAGTTGGTAGGGATGCAACTACCTGAAACTATATACGGAGAATTTCGATGTTTTGAGCGAAGGCCCTTCCTTTCGCCCCTTCAGTTCGTCTGGAGTTACTACCTGATCTCACTCGATTGCACAAGAGTAAAAACTTCGGAGGCCTTTCGCGAGGTTCCTGACGCTGAGGACAAGGTTCCTGACGCTGAGGACAAGGTTCCAGACGCTGAGCACAAGGTTCCTGACACTAAGCACAAGGTTCCTGGCGGTGAGGACAAGGTCCTGCTGGTGAGGACAAGGTTCCTGGTGCTGAGGACAAGGTTACTGGCGGTGAACACAAGGTTTCTGGCGGTAGGAACAAGGTTCCTGGCGCTGAGGACAAGGTTCCTGGCGGTGAGAACAAGGTTCCTGGCGGTGAGGACAAGGTTACTGGAGGTGAGGACAAGGTTCCTGGCGGTGAGGACAACGACACTGGCGGTGAGGTTAAGGTTCCTGGCGGTGAGGACAAGGTTTCTGGCACTGAGGACAAGGTTCCTGCCGGTGAAGACAAGGTTCCTGGCGGTGAGGACAAGGTTCCTGCCGGTGAGGACAAGGTTCCTGGCGGTGAGGACAATGTTCCTGGCGTTGAGAACAAGGTTACTGGCGGTGAGGACAAGGTTCTTGACGCTGAGGACAAGATTCCAGATGCTGAGCACAAGGTTCCTGACACTGAGCACAAGGTTCCTGGCGGTGAGGACAAGGTCCTGCTGGTGAGGACAAGGTTCCTGGCGCTGAGGACAAGATTACTGGCGGTGAGCACAAGGTTTCTGGCGGTAAGAACAAGGTTCCTGGCGCTGAGGACAAGGTTCCTGCCGTTGAGAACAAGGTTCCTGGCGGTGAGGACAAGGTTACTGGCGGTGAGGACAAGGTTCCTGGCGGTGAGGACAACGACACTGGCGGTGAGGTTAAGGTTCCTGGCGGTGAGGACAAGGTCCTGCTGGTGAGGACAAGGTTCCTGCCGCTGAGGACGAGATTACTGGCGGTGAGCACAAGCAGTGGCGTAACGCAACCGCTGGGGGCCCTCCGTCAATCGGCCACTTTGGGCCCTTTGCAACACTAAAAATAGGCTCCAAAATTTTTTCTCGGAACAATTTATTTTTGGCGGTTGGTTTCTGGCGGTGAGGACAATTGGTTTCTGGCGGTGAGGACAAGGTTCCTGGCGCTGAGGACAAGGTTCCTGGCGCTGAGGACAAGGTTCCTGGCGGTGAGGACAATGTTCCTGGCGGTGAGGACAAGGTTACTGGCGATGAGGACAAGGTTACTGGCGCTGAGGACAAGGTTACTGGCGCTGAGAACAAGGTTACTGGCCGTGAGGACAAGGTTTCTGGCGGTGAGGACAAGGTTCCTGGCGCTGAGGACAAGGTTCCTGGCGCTGAGGACAAGGTTCCTGGCAGTGAGGACAAGGTTCCTGGCGCTGAGGACAAGGTTCCTGGCCGTGAGGACAAGGTTCCTGGCGCTGAGGACAAGGTTCCTGGCAGTGAGGACAAGGTTCCTGGCGCTGAGGACAAGGTTCCTGGCCGTGAGGACAAGGGTCCTGGCGGTGAGGACAAGGTTACTTGCGGTGAGGATAAGGTTCCTGTCGGTGAGGACAAGGTTTCTGGCGGTGAGGACAAGGTTCGTGGCGGTGAAGACAAGGTTCCTGCCGGTGAGGACAAAGTTCCTGCCGGTGAAGACAATGTTCCTGGCGGTGAGGACAAGATTACTGGCGGTGAAGACAAGGTTGCTGGCGCCGAGGACAAGGTTCCTGGCGCTGAGGACAAGGTACCTGGCGGTGAGGACAAGGTTCCTGCCGGGGAGGACAAGGTTCCTGCCGGTGAGGACAAGGTTCCTGCCGTTGAGGACAAGGTTCCTGGCGGTGAGGACAAGGTTTCTGGCGGTGAGGACAAGGTTCCTGGCGGTGAGGACAAGGTTCCTGGCGCTGAGGACAAGGTTCCTGCCGCTGAGGACAAGGTTCCTGGCGCTGAGGACACTCACTGAATCTCATAGGCGTACGGGAAGGAAAAAATTAGGGGGGGCAGAAAGAAATTTGCCCACTTTTTCCAATTGTGCCCGACATGTGGCGAAAAATGTTTTCCGGAACAATTCTTTCAGGCGACCTCCCCCCTCCCCCCCCGTCGCCAAAAAAATTTCGGTTAGTGTACCATTTTAGGGGTCGAACAATTTTTCGGACATACCAAAATTTTTCGCAACGTCAAACAAATTTTCCCAAAAGTCGAAAAATTGACATAATTTCCCACATAATTTACAGAATTTGTCCCATTTATTTCTAGCATAACTAAATATTACCCGACTGTGAAGCGAATATTGCCCAACTGGCTTTGTTTGCACAACAAACTGGGGTTATTATTAAGAGAGATTTTCTTGTTTTGACTTCTTTTTGCCCGACTTTTGCCCGACTTTTGTTGAACATTTGACCGACTTTTCGACTTTGTAATCTGTTTGGGGGGGGGGGGCTGCCCCCCCTGCCTCCCCGTCCCGTACGCCTATGCTCAAACTTGTAAGTTATGATGTAGTTTTTAACTGACAGGTAGAGAAATGAGAACTTAAACCGTAGATACTGTACCATGCATTAAACATAGTCTTAATAAACCTATTATTATTATATTATTTTATGAGAATCTAGTTTTCCGTGAAATTGCTTTTTTAAGATACGTGAATCGTGAAACGGCTTTTTTTTTCGTTGTGAAACGTGATCCATACCCCCCCCCCCATTCCCCACCCTCCTCAAAGGTCATGCACCTCCCCTTGGGAAAGTTTCAATGATGGAACAAAGTGAAAATGTGATGGTTGCTGTGGATCTACACTTCGTGACGTAAGAAAGTTTTCTCTGTAAAATTGAAACAGTGATAGCCATTCATCTCTGTGTCAAGTACCCTTTTAATGCAATGTTTTGAAAGAAACTTTGTAGCAATTGTAATGGAGGGCAAGATTGGAGTCATATACATTCATAATTCACTAATACACTGGTACATATGTACACTACATGCATACTTTAAATTAAAATAAGCATACTGTTCTACAATAAGCCCTGACTTTCCATGGGAGTTGTGAGCTAGACCGCTGCACCTCCCGTAAAATTTTTTTCCACCTCCCCCACTATTTTCACCAAAATCCGGCCTTGATTTTCATCCCTTTGCCTAGTTTCAAAATTAGTCTATAATGGGGATTGTCTATTTACGTGAACATAAGAGACTTTTTATTTGGCTTCCATTCAGAATGAATATTGAAGGTCTATAAACATTGTTATTTGTTAAGTTGTTTTGTGATACATTTTTACAACTACTAATGTTTTTTCAAATTGGTAAATATTTTCGAAGCCCCCTTCTTTCGTCTCTCTGTATTTTTTCAAAGCCCCCCTCCTTTCAGGTTTTAAAAAATTTAAAGGCCCCCCCCAGTTTCTCCTCAATGCCCCTTGTACAATAAACAATGAGCGGTCCCTTAGTTTCATTTTCAATTGGGTCTATCCAATCTATTATGAGATAACAGACTGGATAGACAAATCTAAAGCGACTAGAATTTAATCGATTTCATCCTGTATTATTATAAAGTTCTGATGATTATAAGGGGCCGACCATTTAACTTTTGAGGGAGGGGGTGGGTGATTTACTGCTGGCAGGGAATTTTTTTTCTGGGATCGTTATGTGCAAGATATTTTTTTTTATCCCATCACCATATACGATTTTTTTTTTGCCACACTTTCTTTCGCAGCATTTTTTTTTCAATAGCTTATACTATTTAGATTCTTTAATTATAGTTAACGTTGAGTTTTCTAGCTTCATGCATTGCTCTTAATAATACATATTGCTGTGAGGTATAACATTTGGTTCAGGGCCTTTTTTAAGGACTAATGGGAGAGGACATAATTAGCGGGGGACCTGGAGAAGTTCCAGTCGGCAAGTCTGTATCCAGGACCGTAGCTACTGTAGCATGTATAGTTGGGGGGGAGGCCCGAGGAAATTTTTAAATTTCGAGTCTCTGAAATGCCATTTCCTGGACTTTGGGGAAGTTTTGACAGAATGCTGATGGTCAGAAAAAAGCGTTTTAGTACGTCGAAATTTACAATTTGCTTACAATTTATAGTGACAATACAATTTTATAATATTTTCTCTGTTTAACAACTAAAATTCTGTTCTACTATTATTGCCGTAATTTTCCGAATGGCCAACCCGATTTTCTGAATATGTTGATTCTAAAAAAGTTGGGGGTTAACCATCCCCCAATACCCCCCTCGCTACAGCCCTGTCTGTATCACTGCAGCTACCTACAGCATATATATGCATGGTTTAACTAATAAGTATACGTCATAGGGCAGCAGCTCAGGCCATGCTTAAGTTAACTCGGACTCTGAGACAACTGAGTCGACCACCGAAGGTGCGAGCCTCTAGAGGGGTCTGGGGGCATGCCCCCCCAGAAAATTTTGGATTTTTTGAAGCTCAGATAAGCTATTTCCAGCATTTTGAGGAGTTTCCAACAAGAAATTAACCTTACACTAGTCCCTGAAAATCAAACCAGCTGATCTTCTCGGACTGGTCAAATTGATCCCTGCAACCATGCTGTTTTGCAACATTTTTTTCCCACCAAATACTGGGGCAGGATATTTTTTCCCCCAGTTTGTTAGTGCAGGTACTTTTTTTTGTTCAGAATAGCCTTGCAGGAATTTTTTTTTCAAAATCACCCACCCCCTCCCTCAAAAGTTAAATGGTCGGCCCCTAATTGCACATTTGCATCTTAATCATGTGTGAAGAGATCTACCAATATCACTCCATCAAACAGTCAAACACCCACAGAACAGCGAAATGGTAAAAGGTCGTTGGGGGCCCGATGGCACAGTGGCGGAAATTCACTTCCGACAAAACTTTCAAATTTCCTCTTTTAGGTCAAAATTTCCGAAAATTCGTCCATTTTCCGCGAAGGTGGGAGGGGGGGGGGGCGGCCGCCTCCCCGCCCCTCCAAGATTTCCGCCACTGCGATGGCATACATCGTAGCAACCACGCAGGAACAAGTTGTTGTAATGCCCCGTTCAAACGAGTCCAAGACTAATACGTTTTAGACGTTCTCTGGTTTTCAAATATTATTACGAGCTTTCATTTGTTGGTTTTGTTGGAGAAAAATTTTAAGTGGGCAAACTAGGAAACATTGTTGCGGAAACATTGTTTCCTGCCAATGTTTCGCCATGTTTCCCAAAGTGGGTAAACACTAGGAAACATTAGTGAGAAACATAGGTAACTGATCAAATGTTCCTGAAGTTCGCTAGGAAACATTTTTGCTTCTCGGGAAGCAAATTTTGTTTGCGCAACAATGTTTCCACGAGTGGACAAACAGGGAAACATTTGAGAAAACATCGAGAATCACAAATGTTTCCACAACAATGTTTCCTAGTTTGCCCAGGGCTTTAAGGCCCGTTCAGCGATTGAAACGAGGCCAACATGTCGGTCCAACATCTAATATCATTGCAACATTTAATATCATTTATGACCTGAAGTGAGGGGGATTCGGCGAAATATTACCCGAACTCCGAAGTGATGATTGGACACTTAGAATTTGGGTGCAACATGTTGGCCTCGTTTGGACATTCTGTTCATTCTGTTACGAATGTTGGAATATGTTGGATTGAGTGTCTTTGTATTAACGCTCGTTCATGCAGACCCAACCATGTTGTCCCAACCATATAGAGATTATATGTCATTATAAATAACACTAGAGGAGGCATTGTAATATTAATTCAGTAAAAAAAAGAGAACGCACGCGGCTATTGGGGGCAAATTCAAGTCCCGGATGTGTATTCATGTTCCCATTGGTGAGGAGTTTCAAATCAGCCAATGAGAGCACGATTTTATATCAGGGACTTGAATTCGCCCCCCATTAGCTGCGTTCCCAATTTTTAACCTCGATGCCTCCTCTAGTGTTATTTATAATCTCTATGGTCTCAACGTCATGCGGCAACGTTGTATTGAACTGCTTAAATATCAATATTTTGTTGGCATCTCACTAGATTAAATGTTAGTTGAAGGGTATTGTAGATGGAAATTATTGAGTGGAAATGTATGTAGATTTATTAGACCTAACCAGGAACCTTTTCGCTTCTAGATCTGTTCCTGGTTGGGTCTAGTAAATTTATATACATTTCCACTCGATAATTTCCATCTACAATACCCTTCAACTAATATTTAACTGCTTGCATTTTTCAAAGATTTATCCAAATTGAAAATCTGTGCTTTAAAATATTTGAGAGAAACAGCATAAAACATTATTTGACAGTTGTTGATGGTGTTGGGTGAACAACCTTGGGTACATGGTTTGGAAACTCTATGGGATAACAATACAACTCATTAATTATGGTCCTTCGTCGTCACGTGCGTATTGTATTTTAGCCAAATCAACCAATAGCAATGTTTAAATTAACTCATTGTTCAAGTCACGGATGGATAACTAGCCCAAATATTATTATTGGTTGTTTGGACGCAAATACAATACGCACGTGACATGGACCAGGTTTTTTCATAAACCTGGACAACTGTACTTACACGGAGTTTCCACACAATGTACAAGCATTTAATAAGAATTATTGTATGCATTGACTCCATGCAAGTATGACACAATAGGGAATATATAATCTTTATTCAACTAACAAGATTTTTGGAAATACCACATACATTGCTACGATACATTTCCAGAAATACTGGCCAAAACCTGGATTGTAGCCTGCTTTGCATACTGAAATCGAAATTTCTGGTTCAAGCAGGCTACCTGGATCGTAGCTTTGATCTGATTGGTCCAACTTGTACTAGAAGCAAATGATACGTCCGAAAGAGCTATACCGAAAATTCAGAATTCTGTATCATTGGTAAAGGCGAACTATCTGCTTGGTTCGACAACTCAGACTACATTATGAGGAATGATCCGTCTGTGCGTGTAAATACAGCTTTAGAAGAACTATCAGCTAATAGACCGATTCGAAAAATGGTTGTCATTCTTTTTTCCCCCGACATGAATTTCAACCAAAGTAATAACTGCCGATTATGTCCAATATAAATATAATACCATGTAATTCAATGTAAATATAATACCATGTAATTTAATGTAAATATAATACTATGTGTAAATGTAAATATAATACCATGTAATTCAATGTAAATATAATACCGGAGTTTGTGCTAGATTTAGCAATGAAGACTGACTAGCCTTTTGGTGCTTTCGCATATTTCAAAGGGTTAAAATTTCGTTTGCATGGATTGTTTTCATTCTTAACTCTTACATTTTAAATGCAAAATTATAGCGGCTAGTTTTCGAATCGGTCAATTATCAGGCATGATTTGTTCCATTAATTACAAGTATTTCGATTGCACTATTCTAGCTCTCATTTGTTTGGATAGTTTGTTTTGTGTTTACACCATGGATAATAAAATAAACTTATTTTAAATTTATTTTACAAATAAAATAAGTTATTTTACAATCCATGTTTACACTAAGGATGATCCGACAGACTTATCGTCTTAGTGGATCCATCTCTACAGGGTGTATAAAAAAAAACTGAACAGATTTGAAATTGCTCTCAATTTCGCAAAACACCTATTTGTATCCGGTTTTATATATATATAGCTTCTTTGGGTACTTATAATGTAGAATAATGAAAAAAATTTCTTGAACTCAATTTTTGTGAACACCCCCCTGGGGTGTGTCTTTTCCAACAAACTAAAAATTAGGTTTAGTCTAACTATTTTCCTAAAAATCAGCTATTTGCATGCTTAATTAATGCCTAATTTGCATATGTTTAGCAATATGCAAATTAGGTAAATGCAAAGCATGCGAAAGGCTGATTTTTTAGAATAAAATGAATAGTTAAAGGGGCTTAAACTCAACCAAATTGTCTGAAATTTTGTACAGTAATTAAAAACGCGACAAAGTTTCCATCTATTAACTCAAAATATGATTACAACTTTTAAATTTTGCGCGCGAGCCATTTTTAGTTTGTTGGAAAAGACACACCCCCCTGGTTCACAAAATTCGAGTTTCAGAATTTTTTTTCATTATTCTACATTATAAGTACCCAAAGAAGCTATATATATAAAAAACGGATACAAATAGGTGTTTTGCGAAATTGAGAGCAATTTCAAATCTGTTCAGTTTTTTTTGATACACCCTGTATTATAAATAAGGTCATTTACATAAATCTGATATCTCTCTAGTCTCTTTAATAATTCGCGGTGAGTTATATTTCATATCGTATAACTTAACAATATAATATAAATTTTCTTTAGATTCTTTTTGAAACTATTTTTTTGTTGTTATGTATAGAAGGTAAGTACGTTGGTGTGATTACCACGAATCAACAAGATAGGAGGTAAATCTTTAGTCATCATCTCTAACCAACTCATGTACATCGTAGGTTCAACTGCTTCACTGGGCACAGGTAATGTCATCACAATTAAACTCGCTTTTTGACTGTGTTCTCTTAGTAATTCACCTAACCGGATATGACGTAAGCTCTTCTTTTTGTGTTCTCCCTCGACCATATGTCCAGCAAGGTTTTTAAAATCGTTAATACTATCTTCCTTTGGTTTTTCGGATATACCTTCAAACTCTACGACACCTGAAACATCAATACGAAATTTTTTCAATAAACTTGCCATTTTAATTTTACTAGAAGATATCTCGCCCTCTTTCTGAGTGGATTTCGGAGTGAAGACCCGCAGCTTACACTTCTTCCAATAACGATTAAGACTCAATAAATATGGAATAAGCAAAGTCAGGCCACCGTCATCAAACAACCACCAAACATCAATGGTTCCCTCACGTTTCTCGTTCAAAATACGCGTATTATCTGTTTCGTCAAAATTGGATCTGAAAATGGCTACACCTAATTGTTGATCAAATGCATCTTGGATAATATTCACATAGTTTTTTGTGGTTTTCGAATCTTCAAAATCGTTAGCATGTTCAGTTTGGATTTCATCGTTTCTGTCTTCTCGTATGTCTTCGTTTGTTTCTTCGATCCTGTTTCTGGCAAACCCGTCTTTCCAGTTTGTTTTGAAACCAAGAAACACCGTGTTTGGCTTCATCTTACCAAGTCCAGTGCATTGAAGTAAACTGCTCACACCAGAACGGAATTCACGAGCTAGCAGAAAGTAAAGGTACAATTAAAAAACAATTAAAATTCTGATCAATCAGTCAAACCTCTGTAAAGGCTACCAACACCGACGTTGACTGCCTAAGCATTCCAGTTTTTATGATTTTTATAAGCAAATGTATTTACCTGTACAAATGCAGTGAAATGCCTTTATCTTATTGTCACGAAGCCAATCTGTTGCTTTCTTACGATCACTCTTAGATACTTCACCACATATCATCAAACCGTTATTCCTAGTAACATGTGACACTAAGTGGACGATTTCTGGGCGACTCTCAGGAGATCCACACAACACAAGGCACTGAGGTCGGAAATTCTTCACATGGTCTTCTGCTTCATTGTATTGATAACTCATTGCAAGGATAGTACGGTAAGTAACAGCTTGTGTCGACGAACCCCAGTTCACCTGAAGTGACGCAAAAAGCACATATAACTATTACAATTACAATAAGAACAGAAATGAGTGCAGAAACAACAAAAACAATAACAAGAGCAACAACCATAACAAAAACAACATCAGCCATAGCAACAACAAGAACAACAACAACAATAACAAAGCGGCACCAATAACAAACAAAAGCAGTAGCAACAACCATAACAACAGCAATAACAATAACAATAACAATAACAGAGCTACTGCAGCAGCAACAACAAAAACAACATCAACAATAAAAACAATAGCAGCAGCAACAACAACACGAACTACTACAGTATGAACAGCATTACCAACTAATAACATCAACAATGTCGACAATAACAACAACGACAATTATTTTGGTCTTACCTGCGGCTTTTTATACGAGACATATTTATAGAGAGATCCAATGATGACAATTGTAACTAAAGCTGCCCACCATTCAATAAGAAACATAATACCAATACATAACAATGCTCCAAATAAGGAAGCCCATTTATTGTAATATTTGAACGATGGTCTCCAACCTGGTGATCGACCCAAAGATGCTGCAAACACAGCATAATTGATTAGAGCATACGACATTAGGAAAAAGTTGGAAATGATTGGAGCAATCACATTAAGTTCAGCAATTGCAATGAACCCAGAAGCAATAAAGAAGACAAGAATGTAGGCCCTTCGTGGTTCGTCATTAGGTCCACTTCCTTTGGCGAAAAACGTGATATATGGAAATATTTCATCTCGACAGACAGCTTGGAAAACTTTAGGGGCTCCGACCAAACTGGCAAGTGCAGAGGATAATGTTGCAGCAAAAATACCAATGATGACCAATGGCGCCCAGACTGAAATCTTTTGCATCAACTAAAAAAGTGCAAGAGTCACAAAAGTTAGGCATGGTATAATAACCTTATCCAAAATATAGTTCAAGGAAAACGACAAACTCGTACTCAGGCTATTTTCTCTCACCCTCTGGTGCCACGAAAGACCCTGGTACGAGGATGGGAAAACGAGAACATAGACAGGCATTTTCTTCAGGATATTTTGCGGGGTTATTATTATGTTGCGGAGCTCGGTGAAGGTCAAGACTAGAGGTGTGCAAATCCGATCCGATTCGTTCGGATTTCGGAACAAAAATATACATTTCGGATCGGATTGATAAAGTTGTTTCATAGTAGGATCGGACTTCGATATTCGAAATAAAATGAATTAATTATCCACGCATTATCGCAAGAATTAATTATCTATGCATTTGTCAAAGCATTATCGTGGTTGTCGCTATCGACAATTGTCGTATTCTGGACAAATTCTAGACATCATTTCGGTCTTGAAAATAAACATTATTCCAATTACATAGCTAGCGAATAAATATTCTTTTACTGTATGTTATAAATTAGCCCTTACATATTTTTGTCTATACGATCTGCAGTGAACTAAGTGAAGTATGATTACAGTATCACTAAAACTAGTATAATTTCCTAAAAAGACTTTTTACCTAGGGTTTCATGGGGTTTTTTTCTGCCACCCTCAAATATTTTCTAGGACCAATGGTCCCGTGGTCCGCTTTATTTTGCAGCCCTGCGCTTCATACACGATTAGGTTAAGAATAGGCTTGTAACTGTGTTAAAAGATCAAAGAGAAACATGAGGACATAACCTTCATGAGCATCTGCCATGCTAAAACAGGCAATCATGAAAAGACGCCATTGGGGCAAAAGTGCAATAAATAGTGAAGTCTATTATTAAGGTAGTGATCAGTGGCGAATTTTATACGACGGTTTTCAGCGAGCTTTGACAGTGCTCGAAAGGCAAAGCTTGCGTCTACAACGTTCTATAGGTGCTGAGTTCGAGACCGCTTCGGGTTTTTGCTTTTACAAGGGCCTTGTAACCAGGCCTGATTCACGATAACGGGAAAAGTTGACAAAAGTAATTCCAGAAAAAAATCCTGCATACGGAAATATCTAGTTTCTTTTTACGAGACGTGTTGGAATAAATCGCTCAGACTGGCCGAAAGTCAATATGCTATGTAAATCGAACTACCTTCAGGCCAGGATGAATTCTGGGCGAAATAAATGTAAACAGAACATATTTTGGGTCGGTGTCAGGAGTTTCGCCCCCCTTTAGAATTTTTGTCCTCCGTTAAAAATTTCGCCCTTCCTAACAGTTGCATGGGATAATTATTACATGGATTTAGTCATTTGAAATCAGTATCAATTCAAAATTGTTAAGAATACAAATTTACAATTACATGTATCGAAAGAGCTTACAGTAGATCAATAGGACAAAATCCCCGACAAAATAAGCATTTAGAAAAAAACTGATGCCGATTGCATTTTACTAAACTAAAAGTACTTGTCAATGTCACATGTACAACTGTCAATGCCACGTGTACCATGAAAACAGGCTGTACAATTTTCATTTTCACCACGCTCTTTCATAAGTTCCTGCACGGCCAAATAGAAAATAACACTATTTTGGTTTTCCTGGTTATTTTTCCTGGAATTTTGGTTGATGTTAGGTGAATGTACAACCAGACCCGTCCATCTAAAATCAACCAGGGTGTTTTAGAGTGTTCCGTACTCACAACTTTATCCATACCTGGTAATCGTTATTCAATCCATACTTGCACTCCATCATAGCACACGTGATCGTCTCATTAACAATTCCTGTAGCATCTCGCACCCCACAAGATCCAGCCATTATACCCAGAAGTACATAAACTACCCCAGTTACCCCAATTGCAAGAAATGTTCCTTTCGGGATCGCCTTTTGTGCATCTCTTAAATCTCCAGAAATATTTACTCCTGCAAGAATGCCAGTGGCTGCCGGGAAGAACACAGCAAACACAGAGAAGAAATTCTCCTTTCCAGTGTAACTGGGGGAAAAGTTTTCACTAAACGCTGAGGAGCTCATACCAATGAAACCTTTAGATCTTATATCGTCACTCAAAGGACCTACAAAAAATCCTATAACGACACTGAACATGGCTACCAGAAGGAGGATGAGCAAACCTAACTGCGCTTTAAGCACCCAGTCCAGGCCAATCAATGTGAGTCCAAGTAGTATGACAACTGTCCCTAGTCCTATAATGCGAGCGTCATTTATTTCATCTATCATAAGAGAATTACTTTCCACCATTAAATATGTGACGGTTTCAGCAAAACCAACAACATACATCGCCACGGCAACTGCATTTGCCAATGAAAAGATCAGACCAATAGAGCCACCAAACTCTGGACCCAAACTACGTGAGATGAGATAGTACGCGCCACCTGAAAATTAACAAAAATTGAAACTAAATAAGTAATTTATAAATACTTAAAGTAATTTTATAATACCTGAGAATATATTAAAATATTTATGTCTTATAGAAATTTTAACTGATTGAGCTCCAGCGCTCTGACAGAGTAAATTAATAAAATAGGGCGCATTAGGGCGAATGCAACTTAATGGGTTGAAGAGGAACTCACAAGAGAGTTGGATTGTGACCAGTGCAAATTTTCTTCGTATTTTCTCGATCTCATTAATTATCCGAATCCTTCTCATTTATGGAGACGTGACAATGGCTGTAGGCATTGAGGGTGGACGGCCATTTTGACAACTGCATGTCATGTACACTTTATATTTCATTTTAATTCAGTGTGAAACCCAGACGTATTACGGCGAACTTTATTACCACTTATTACAGCCAATTATTTTTGTAAGCATGATATATATTTAATTCCTTATAAAGGTTAATTCAAACACTCATTAATAATTCATAAGCTTATTGGCAAATCATGTCAACCATAATATGTCACGTACTAATAAGGCAGTATCTATTGTAGTCGTGTCCTCATTAGTATTCTTTATATAAAGATTACTAATAAGGCAGTATATCTATTGAATTTGTAGTCGTGTTTGAAGCCGTTTAATAAACTCGCAGGTCGTGTTTTATTATGTCTAAAGTCACTCGCGCTGCGCGCTCGTGTCTTTAAACATAATAAAACACTCCTGCTCGTTTATTAAACAGTACTTAACAGATTGCACTGTATATTACAAACTTGCTGGAAGTAAAATGTTTGTTTATTTATTAGCCTTTATCATCACTCTCGCACCACAAATTATTTCACTATACCCAAAACAGAAAAGGTGATTTCTTCAGAGAAACGAATTGTAATAAATAACAAAGTCATACCTCCTTTGATTTGTCCATTGGTACAGATTGCTGACATTGATATAGACGTCAAAGTCGTTACAGCCGCAGAAAGTAAAATAATTACTGTGGAAAGACCAATCCCAGCCTGACCAACAACCCAAGTCAAACGAAGAAATAACATAACGCCCCATATATTTAATAAACATGGCACCAACACGCCTTTAATCCAGCCAAATTTGGTTTGAGTTTTAGTTGGTATGTTTTCTACATTTGCTTCATCTGTTTCTACATCAATCATACGCTAGGGAAGAGAAAAATGTACTAAGGAAAATATAGTCCCAGTTTATAACCTAGTTTACAGAATTACATCTGGATGAATTAATGCTGGAAGCTGCTGCAGGAAATGTGAAACAAAGAGGAAGAAAGGTATTCGTTAAGCGATTATTATACTTTTTTGAATAGACTCCTCGGGAAGTACTTAAACATTTATAGGACCATGCATATTGTATTAAGGTTTATATTCAGGGTGCGATAATTCGCGTACCAACGTACCGGAGGTACGCCAAATTTATGGTCTGGTACTTCTTTGTTTTTAGGCAAGTACCACGTGGGTACGCGGAAATTTGTTATCCGCGTACTTACATTTTACTTCTAGCAATAACTAGCAAACCTGCCAAAGTATTCAAAACCGTGAGGACCTTTAGCTGTACATGTAAATTCCACGTATCCGACATATTTTGGGATGAAAAAAGCCCAAAGGTTATCTTTGAGCTTGATGAAAACATTTATCGTCATCGTCCGACTGAAAAAAAATCGCTCGGGTTAGCGATTTTAAAATCGTTATCGTCAAACGCCGATAATTTTATCGTTTTCGTTGTAGTGTGGACACCAACATAATTTTTTACCAATCAATGCTATACCAAGGCCTAAAAAATACCTGTGGTTCCGGTTTCCCGACCGACCCTATTTTTTTCTGCTCACCCTATTATTTTTTTCAACACGATTGACCGTGCGACCCTATTTTCTCCGGGTGGTTGCGGGCTGCTCGCACAGAGTGGCAAAATGGCGTCTGTTGTCACAATAATTATTGAACCAACCTGCTTAAATTCGTCCGTAGGAACTACGCATCTCTAGTTAATATTGATGTCGGGATTCTACTGAAAATCGCCCAGCAAAAACCCGCCAAAACTATGAAAAAAATATTCAGAAAAATTTTTTATTTCCGACCTACCTACCCTAATTTTTTCGCGATATGAAACCGGAACCACAGGTTTTTTTAGGCCCAATGAGGAAAACTACACTGTATGTAGCTGAGGTCAGACTATTAGCACCCTCGGGAATTCCACTGTAAAAGAGCGATGGCATTCGAGTCACAACGTCGACGCTTTGAAAACTGTTATATTATGTTGTACAAATATACCATAGACATAGTTAAAGATTCATTTGTACAAAAGCTTTTGGCGGACCAGTAAACTGTACGTATAGGTATAAAAACACATGACTCGGAAGTAGTCTTATAGGTACGTCTTGACTCTTAAGTTTGTTACTGTTTGTACCAGATCAGGTACGTGGCAAAAGTTTTCGGAGTACCAGTCAGGTACGGCTAAAAATATTGAATTATCGCACCCTGTTTATATAATAAGATATCTGCAAGGATACTCCGTTTTTGGTCATTATATAGGATAGTATTTAAAAGTTGTTCAGTGCCAACAGGTATACTGTATTCTCTGTACCAAATGGCAAATATAAAAACTTGTGCAAAATGCTTGTGGCAACCATGCATGACAGCACATATCCAGATTGTAACGAAATTTTACACAATTCTTGGGTTTCAATCACGTAATATTTTGGCACAATTTGACTCAAGTGGGTTGACTTATGAGTTCAATTTTCACAGCGCTAGCTGGCTATTAAACGAGTTTTCACCTTAATCCATCGATCTATACAATGAATTTATCATAACAAGATCGCCAGGGGCGCACATTAGGGGCTGGGGAGCGTCCGAATATCACTAAAAGTCGGTCCCATTCTTCCTTGATACTGTGCGAAAACTCGGTCCCAAAATTTGGGTATAAGAATTAATATTACTTCTGTCCGACTCCGTGAATTGGGTCCGACAACACAAGAGCCAGTTGGTAAGATGTTATGAACAAGCCTATGTGTATGTGTTACAGGTAAACTACGTGAAGCGTTCCTCTTTTGAGTTCCTAAGTTGATTGCAATTTTCGTCATTACCTTAGCAAATTTGAAAATCTCCCTTGCAAATCCCTTGAGGGAATTTGCAATGTTCTTAAGAGCCAAATAAATTTTCCTCAGTTCCTGTTAGAAGTTCTTAACTTCCTGTTACAAGTTCCTAACTTCCTGTTCTGTTCTGTGCGTTGCAATTGGCCAACAAAAATAATCCACCAATGAAAACGCTCAGAACAGAACAGGAAGTTAGGAAATTAAAACAGGAAGTTAGGAAAAGTTGAAAGGAACTTTCTTTGCGTTGGAATATTGCAACGGTCGACAGGAAAATTGCAAATTCCCTCAAGGGATTTGCGAAGAGTTTTTCAAATTTGCAAATCTAATTTTGAAAATTCCAAATGAGTTAGGAACTCAAAAGAGGAACGCTTCACGTAGTTTACCTGTAATGTGTAAGAAACTATTTCTTGATTTTTAAACGTCAAATCGTAGCGCACCCGCTAAGGTTTAGATGGTTAATTCAGATTATTTATTATCTTGATTTCATTGTTTTGCTAGTTGTTATTATACACTTCTATTTTTCATTATTTTCAGTATTTTATATGGACGGACGAAAGTAACAATTATATTAGAAAAAATAAACTCGTCTCTCTCTCTCTGCTACTATCCGATTTCGTACCTGTGGCCTGCGAACGGATATTCTCATGACAGCTCATACACATTACTAATAAGTAATAAACACGTCCTGGTATTCACACGCGAGCTCATAGGCCTATACATATGTTTTGATTCTTCAGTTCAGAAAAAGACTTATCTGATTCTATTGATCTGGAATAGATTGAACAAATGCAGAAATTGAGCGAACTATTAAATAAGGGATGAATTTTCTTAATCCTTCGTTCATACACCTGAACGAGCCTACCGAAAAGGTAGAGTTAAAACTCTGAAATGGTCGTTTCCGGCGACCAAGAGGTTCTAAATGTTGAAAATTTTCTCGCTCGGCGCCAACCATGGTGGCGCCTCGTGAGACCTTACCCCCTGATTTCAATACATTCCCACGTCCCTGTTCTGTGGCATGATGTTTTTGCAGAATTGTTTTTTACCCCTCTGTTTAATTTCTTTTTGAATATCAAAAAGTCGGTCCCCAAGTAGCCCACACCCCCCTAGAAATTCCTTAGATGTGCGCCCCCTGAAGATCGCGTTAAGCATTCTTGGTAGCTATAAATCTGGTAGCCATGAAGCATAGAAATAATACTATTGGATATCTATCTATTTCTATGCCATGAACCAGGCGGGAATCGTAACTGCATAACAGAGTCATGAACGAAACATTATTTCTTAGACTTAGTAAATATTTTAAAATACTGGCATTTATTTTCATTACACGATTTTTGAAATGATTTTGATGAGTTTTTTATATTTCTATTTTTGCTGCCCAAAAATATTTTCTGCGTAATCATTTCATGTTCAGCTTATTGGAGCCTAAAAAAATTGCTGGTCAAAAAATTGCTAGTACAAAAAAGGTACACAGTCACACCAATAAACAGCCTACAAATATATCAAAATATTTTAAACCCTGATGGGTTAATTGCATTTTGTCATTTGACACCGACTCTGTTATCTTGAACCCCAATTTTACTTATAAGCACAGGCACAACATCATAAAGGTCAATATTCTGTTAGTTCATAGTTGCTTTGGAGTTGTTCATCATTTACACTAGTCAGGATATTATAGTCTGGCTGTTTTAAGGTTGGATTTGGGTTATACCTCCATTTTTTTGACAACAAAGAAACTATTTTGTACTGGACCACCACTATCCACTCACATAACTAAACTTTTGTTTGCATAGAGATCAGTGGTATAGACATAGTTATGCATAAAAAATAAAACGTTACACATAAAAAATAAAATAGGACTTCAGAATTTGGTCAACAGAACCTAATTGTTTTTCCAGGATTGAGACATTCCATTTGCAATTTAGAACCTTTCATCTTGTTATTGGTGACATAATTACAAAAGCAAATGGTTCTGGTAGATAAACTAAATGACCTTTACAATAAAGTCACCAATAATAAGATAAAAAGTAAAGGTCTCAATCACATTACAATCCTTAATAAAAATTTGGGCAAACTTTCAACTGCTCCCTGCCCCCAGAAAGCATCAGCCCCATACACTTATGGCCAAGGTGATACTTTCCAGAAATATATACTCCAGTTACTTACTCACAGGAGAACATATATTTCTACATTTTTCTAAGACTGGATCATAGGTATTATTGGAGAGGGTTCGACAATGGGATATTTAAATTTTAACATTTTGTTTGGAGAGTACTATCATGGAGAGTACTATCATGGATAATAAGAACACCAGATAGGAAACTCACAATCATGTACAATGTTTTCAGCGTGGTGAGCATGCTACAGATGGCATCTCAATATTGCTGAAAATTATGACATCTTCCATGTTTACGTGCTTGATATATTGAAACCATTTTGAACAATTGTGAATCTCAATATAGCTACTTGAATGTGAAAAATATAGGGAAATGGAAGAAAAATGCAGTGAACTTTACTATTTCAGAACCATTATCAGAGATATGAAAAACTAGTTTCATATTATTCTAAAATAATAAAAAACTTTACTATAATCATTGTATTTGTGACACACAAATTTCAAATAGGTCCTGTCTGCTGGCATCAGCTGTTTCCTATCCATTTTTTTAGTATCCATGGTAATATATTAAATAAAGCCCTATTTACAGTGAAAATACAAAAAGTGTCCCACTTCGTCTTCTGTAGTTTGTTGTGATGTACTGTAATTTAATTGTTCTGTTTTTTTCTGTAGCGATTACCAATTTATTGGCAAATACCGCGAGAAAACTTAGTTTTCTCTTTTTTTTTTAACTATGTTAATTTGTAGCAAAGGGAAATAATACATTTTTCTTTAGTTTCATTGCATAAAAGGTACGGAATTTAAATTTTATTGTGGTATTTGCTGATAAATCGGTAATCGCTACAGAAAAACAGAACAAGTTACAGTAAATCACAACAGACTGCAGAAGCGGAAGTGGGACACTTTTTGTATTTTCACTGTAAACATTCACAAAATTTTGATCAACATTTTCCCGAATTGCTTCTACTATATTTCGAGCTATAATTATGGATTTGTATCTATGTATGTGCATTTTTCTAACAGCATGCAGTGATTTGAGTGTTTGGTCTGTTTGCATTTGTGAACTCATTTTACAACCCTTCAAAAGTTTCTATAGAGGAAAATGGAGAAAATTCTGCCCTAAATGACAATCATAATACTTTTATTAGAAGAGAAGGTGGTAGTGGCTGTAGTGAAAAACAGGAAAGTAGGTGCATTTTAGTGAAAGAATTGCACACCTCCAAATATGTAAGCCCTATGCATAACGGGGGTTTTCCTGAGAATAATAACAGTTGAAATTATCACAGACAAACAAAATGCACACAAGATGTTTGGTTGAATCATCGCATATATGTCTGCTGGATTTTTACCATTATCCAGGCAATATCATGCAATGCATTACTAATTGTTTAATAAATATAACACATTTGGATGCTTTCTATACATGGAAGCTTAATATATTTGTACAGACTGGACCCCCAAATGTTGCACACAATGTTTCACACAAAATACAGCACGTGTCCACCGGCACGAGACTAAATCAATAATATTTTTCTAATACGGTAAGATATGTACATTTAAGTGTCAAATATCGCGATCTGGGTTGTTCTAAAAACGCTGAGTGAACGAGTGAATGGAAACAGCAACAACGATTTATCATTTATCAATACGTATTTTTACTAAAATAGAATAATAATCACATCCTCTATAGTTTGACAATTCATTTATATTAATATATTTTGAAAAATTAATAAATTTCAAACCTGTGTTTCAGGACTGTTGCTTTCAAATCCTTTTCTGAGTTGATCAAGTGTCGGTCTTGCTTTACCTTTCGTCTTGCCTTGAATGTGGGATGATTCATTTCGATAAAATACCGTCATAGGCACAGCCTCGTGTGTGTTATATCCTATTGTATTTTCAGCAGTACTAGGACAGTGTGAGTGTGTTGTGTTTTCATTGGGAAATTCATCTGTCTCCAATCTCTCGTCTTTCAAGGGAACGGTTGTGACAGCAAAACGTTCATTACTCTTGGCCGCTGTATCGTTGTTTTCATCGGCCATTTCAGCCTGTGAGTCGTCCACGTTCATTTCAGTCTTTATAGGACAGATCAATCTACATGATTGAAAAGAAAGAACTTTGTACCCTAATATATTATGCAAACAAGTGTTGTGCAAACAATTTTATTAAAATGCTGAGTGTTGAGAGACTGTATAAAACTTCTGCTGTTGGTTGTAAATTATATAATCGCGCCCGCGATGGTATCGTTAAAAACTTCATGTTACATATTGATTTGATTTGACATTTGATCAAGTACAAATTTCAGATATATTTTTTGTTTCATTTTACAGTAATAATATATTCAAGATTTCAAACCATTTTGTGTCAGTTACTTAGCACGTACTGACTACATGCACGGTTGCACGTAATAACTGGTTGTTAGGCAATTAGAATAGTACGCATTGTTACGTGCGGGCCGGGAGACATTTCAAGCTCTAAATAGTAACAAAATAAAGGTTTGATGACTATTCCAACTATGTTTCAACTTAAATGGAATACATGATAATATTGGAAAGGCATTAAGAACAGGTAACCAAGATTGCGTGACTGCGAACATCCTTGTTTGAGCCAGACTTTAATTTAATAACTTAATTGCATGGTTTAAAGGGGTAATTTGTCAGAAATTTTGACGAAAGAATGCTCTTATAAACAGCAACTTTTGAGTTTCAAAGGGTTTCAAACGAAATCACCGTCGAAATTTCCGCCACTCGGGCATTTGAATATACGTAACACTCGTGGGGGTTGGGCGTGTTTGATCAGGACAGGAGTCACATAACGTCACAAGGGGGGAGGGGGGTATCACAAGCGGTATCAGGTGACGGAGAGGCGTATGTGGTATAGGGGAAAATTTATCCCTGTCTATAACAAAACCAACCCATTGAACTATAAATAAACTGGAAGGCTAACTGCTATGATGAAGGCCTATGATTTGATGAAGCCAAAATAGTTTTTCTGAGTTATGAGCAGAAATACTTGACCCCAAACGTCGTGCTATATATCAAATTGAAGCTATTGAAAATTGCTATTCGGTGTGGAAATTTCAAGACTTCAGCGAAAAGAGAAATATTTAAAAAATACAAAAACAACTGCAAAACGGCAAATTATCGGTAATTATGTTTGTAGTTTTTCAATATTTCCCTTTTAGCTAAAGTCTTGAAATTTCTACACCAAATAGCGTTTTTCAATAGCTTCAATTTGATATATTGCCCAACGTTCAGTGTTGAGTATTTCTGCTCATAACTCAGAAAAACTAAAATACACTGGCTTCAATTTCCCCCCCTGAGTTAGCCTTCCAGTTTATTTATAGTTCAATGAACCAACCTCGTTCCCAGGGCTTTTAACAAAACAAGACCGTGCACACGCACGTAAAACTTTGAATCCTTTTTTTTTAAATATTTTACAAATAAGTTAACAAATGCATACTAAAACTTGCGGAACACTAAATTCTTTTGCTTTATTTATTTTGTTATTTCATAAGTAACATTTAAACGGATTTAAAGTGGAAGGCAAGTCCGTTCTGCGCATCGGTTATGCTCATAACAATGTGTGGACCCTCTAATGTGAACTTGCCCAAATTTAGAATGTTTCGAATTTTTCTGAACATAATCTCTATTTCATATTCATTTAGAAGCATAGCGAACCAAAATGGTGTTAGATATTCAGAGAGTACATCATATTTAAAAAATACATTACGGACTTGACTTCTACTTTAAAGTATTACGTGCGTAATACGTACGTATGAAAAACACAACAGTGGATATCAGCCTTTAAAGGCTGATTTCAACTGTTGCGTTTTTCATACGTACGCCGTATACGCGTGCACGTAAAACTTTAAATCCGTTTAAATGTTACTTATCAAATAACCAAATAAATAAGGCAACAGAATTTAGTGTTCCGCAAGTTTTAGTATGTATTTGTTAACTTATTTGTAAAATATTTAAAAATAGAAGGATTCAAAGTTTTACGTGCGTTTAAGGCTGATTTCCACTGTTGCGTTTTTCATACGCACGTACACGCACGTAAAACTTTGAATCCTTCTATTTTTTAAATATTTACAAATAAGTTAACAAATGCATACTAAAACTTGCGGAACACTGAATTCTGTTGCTTCATTTATTTGGTTTAATTGGTTATTCCATAAGTAACATTTAAATGGATTTTAAAGTTTTACGTGCGTATATACGTACGTATGAAAAACGCAACAGTGGATATCAGCCTTTACATGACAAATCAATGTTTTCTATCAAATATATTGTTATTCAACGAACCAGCTAGAACCTGAGTGGGAAACAGTTTAGGCCGAGGTTTAATAAGGCATTGAAATAGTGTCGATTTATAGATAATTTGGTTGTTATAGGGTGGTTGGCTTAGAGTCACGTATTTTATGATCGGATGTACAAGGGGTCACGTATTTTGTTAATGGCCCCTAAGTGCGTGAGCTGTTAACGCTTTATAATCAAGTATGTTCTTATAGTACAGATGGTTTATTGATTAGATAAAATCAGTGCATTTATGTAATAATTACCCATCTTTATCTTTACTGAATATTTCATCAAAAAGACCATCCATTTTCCCTTTGATTTGTCTGGAATATTTCTGTTACCTGGACAACTAAACGATAGAAATGTTAAATACAAGAATGAACAAGAGTTCAGTCATCGTCTTGAGGCACACTTTCAGTGTATCAGTTTGTTTGTCACCAGCCTGGTGTTGAGCAATTATTTACCAGCGTAAATTGCAACTCACTTTAGGGGCCGACCATTTAACTTTTGAGGGGGGGGGGACGGGGGAGTGATTCACTGCTGGCAGGGAATTTTTTTCTGGGATCGTTATGTGCAAGATATTTTTTTCCTACCCATCACCATGTACGATTTTTTTTTTCCATTGTCTCTTTCGCAACATTTTTTTTTCAATAGCCGATACCATTTAGATTCTTTAATTATAGTTAACGTTGAGTTTTCTAGCTTCATGCATTGCTTTTAATAATACATATTGCTATGAGGTATAACATTTGGTTCAGGGCCTCTTTTAAGGATGTGTAACTGGAGAGGACATATTTAGCGGGGGACCTGGAGAAGTTCCAGTCGGCAAGTCTGTATCACTGCAGCTACCAACATATATATGCATGGTTTAACTAATAAGTATACGTCATAGGGCACCAAATCAAGCTATAACTAGGATTCTGAGGCAACCGAGTCGATAACTGAAGGTGCGAGCCTCTAGAGGGGTTTGGGGGCATGCCCCCCCCCAGAAAATTTTGGATTTCTTGAAGCTCAGATAAGCTATTTCCAGCATCTTGAGGAGTTTTCCAACAAGAAATTAACCTTACACTAGTCCCTGAAAATCAAACCGGCTGATCTTCTGGGATTGGTCAAATCGATCCATGCAACCATGCTGTTTTGCAACATTTTTTCCCCCGCTAAATACTGGGGCAGGATATTTTTCCCCCCAGTTTGTTAGTGCAGGTATTTTTTTGTTCAGAATAGCCTTGCAGGAAGGTTTTTTTCAAAATCACCCAACCTCCCCCCTAAAAAGTTAAATGGTCGGCCCCTTATTAGAGCAGTGGATAACTTTAACAGTTCTGTCTAAACTGCTCCCCATGAAATTCCCCTCAGCACTCCTCACAGAGAAACTGACGATGTTTGGAAGATTGAATCAGGCAACTGGGTAGGGCCTCTTTTAACATATAGACTGGGGGACATGTCCCTCCCCCCCAGCCCTCTTACTGGCCCCTCCAGTCAGCAATTTTGCCCCCCCCCCCAGTGAGGTCCCTATGAACTACCTGCAGTAGGTGGTCAACAAGCAATTATATATCAAAGTGAGAAATTAAAATGATGTTAGGTTGTTAACATTTCTGAATTTGACCATCATCTGCATGCCCGTATTAACTAACTATGAGTCAACCGAGTCAGTTGACTCGGTAGGAATTTGGGTACTGAAATTTAAACATCACCAGAAACCTAAACCATGGCTGAAATAATTTGCTTGTAGAAAAAGGCATGAAATGGCATTTTAGAAATTCTAAATTCTAAATTACGAAATTCTAGTTTAGTTTTTCCAAGCAAAGATACCACCGAGATCATCCTAACTTGCTCTTCAGTGACACTGAAAAGACGAATGCGTCGATGTCAAGTACCCCCAATACATGTATTACAGTACTGTGGAATTTGAAGTGTGGTGAATGATAATACTATATACCACGCACATTTTCATTACCGCATCATCATGTTGCCTTATTGGGACTGGATTACATTTGGGCGACTGTAAAATTGTAGTATTTGTGTCACTGTTTATAAGGTTAATTTCTTCTTTTATATATAAATAACTACAGTGAAATACGCAATTTGATTGGTTAATAGCCGTGCAGGATCAGGCTATCCTGCACGAGGAATTAAAAGGCCTTCGCGGGATTTTCGCGGGATTCACAAAATGTCATTGTTTCACTGTAGTTATTTTATAAAACAGTTACCAAATGGTTTACCAAGCAGGATAGCGTGATCCATGCACTTGGGATGTTGCTCGACTTTCGGAAAGCGTAAAAATACACTCGCCTGCGGCTCGAGTATTTTTACGCTTTCCGAAAGTCTCGCGACATCCCTCGTGCATGGATCACGCAATCCTGCACGGAAAACCATTCGGTATTCCTTTGATCTGAGCTTCAAGAAATCCAAAATTTTCTGCGGGTGGGCATGCCCCCAGTGGTGCCTAAATTACTTTGAATTTGTACTTGAGTAAAAGTAGAAGTAATTAACAATAAAACGACTTGAGTAAGAGTAAAAAGTACTGGAGGTAAAACGTACTTAAGTAAAAAGTACAAAGTATATCCTTAAAAAATACTTGAAGTAAAAAATAAAAGTACTATTGTATTTAGCGTGTACGGGGGGGGGGGGATGTCTCTGATGGATTGACAAACAAAAGACACAAAACAACACACGCACTATATGCATGCACCTAATATACAATATTTCACGGCATTATGGTCTATTTTGCAGACCCCGTTGAAGATATAAGAAATCAATTAAATAAATACCTATCCATTACCTATTACCTATCCCGGCAGGTACAAAACGCAGGTTGCAGGTTGCAGGTTGGAATTTTGCAGGTTGGGAATTTTGCAGGTTGGAATTTTGCAGGTTGGGTATTTTGCAGGTTGGAATATTGCAGGTTGGGGATTTTGCAGGTTGGAATTTTGCAGGTTGCACAAACAA